CTACTACTGGCTAGGAGGCATGGGATAGTTAACCATCTGAGGGCTGCCCCTGCCAGCCCATGCAGTTTGTGCCTTGGCAAAAATTGGGAAGACACTCTCCCTTAAGACACTTCACTTCCATTTGTTAGAAAATGGACACAATATGCTGCTTTTGTTAGAACAAGACACTTCACTAAAACTTGTCAGGAATGTGTCAGAATAAAATAACTAATGTGTGTGACCATGGTTACCTGTCTACTGCACAAGCTGTACAATCACATGCTGCCACTCTGGGTGCCATTGTCTATTATGAGCAAGTGTCCTCTATTTAGAGCCTTGCCAAGCCTGAGCTTACATTCATGTCTCACTATATGTAACTAGAGGCCCAATGCACAAAATTCATGCAAGGGGCACAGCCCTTGCAACTGCAGTGGTTTGCCTCAGCCCTTGCAGCCCCAGCTTCATCCAGTTGGTCATCCAGAAGGATGTCCAGAAGGTTGAATTAGCATATGCTTTTATTATTCTAGATTAGAGGCCCAGTGCACAAAAGTCGTGCACAGGGTGAGGAGGGAGGGCAGGGGGGAAGGTGTCCCTCAGTCCAGCCTGCACTCTCTTCAATCTGGGACCCCTCGAGTGATGTCCAACTGCCCATTTAGGCCTGATCCCACCAAGCATCTAAATGGGCAGTCGGACATCCATCTCTCAACAGAGGACTGCTAGCTCCCAACTTCTCACCTGCCTGCACCCTCTTCAATCTGGGACACCTCAAGGGATGTCTGACTGGTGAGATCAGGCTTAAACATGCAGTCAGACATCCCTCTCTCAATACAGGTCTGCTGGCTCTCAACTGCTCACCTGCCTGCCTTCCTGATTGCCCCTAACAGCTTCTGCCTGTCAGCCTGATCACCCCCTAACCACTCCCCTGCCAGCATGATTGATGCTTAACTGCTCCACTGCCAGCCTGTTTGCCCCCAACTTCCCTACTCTGCCTATCTGATCACCCCTAACTGCCCTCCCCTTCAGGCTTGATTGCCCACAATTGCCCTCCCTTGCAGGCCTGGTGCCTCACAACTGCCCTCCCCTGCTGGCCATCTTGTGTGGCCATTTTGTGTCCACATGGAGGCAGGATCTTTGACCACATAGGGGCAGCCAGCTTGTGTGTTGGAGCTTTGATCAATCTGCATATTACTCTTTTATTAGATAGGATAGAGGCCTGGTGCATGGGTGGGGGCCAGCCAGCTGGTTTGCCCTGAAGGGTGTCCTGGATCAGTGTGGGGGTTCCCTTGGGGTGTGGGGCGGCCTGGGCAAGGGACCTGTGTCAGTTTGCAGGCCAGCCACATGCCCCGACAATCCAAGCGGAGGTCTTGGTGTCTGGGATTTATTTATCTTCTACAGTTGAAACTTTGTAGCCTGGAGCGGAGGCAGCAGCCATTTCTGTTGGAATTTATTTATCTTCTATAAATAAATTTTTGTAGCCTTAAGAGGAGGTCAAAGCAGGCCAGGGGTGCAGAAGCTTAGCTTCCTCCATCACAATAGGCAACCCTAGCTTCCTGCTCTCTCCAGCTCTGTGGCTGCTGCCGTTTCTGTTGGGATTTATATATCTTCTATAATTGAAACTTTGTAGCCTTAAGTGGAGACTGGGCCAGCCAGGGTGTGCGGAAAGCTTGGCTTCCTCCATCACCAGGAAAACCCAAGCCTCCCTCCTGCTCTCTCATCTCCTGCCCCAGCCATCTTGGTTGAGTTAATTTGCATACTCACTCCTGACTGGTTGGTGGTCATGGTTTGTGATGTAGCGAAGTGATGGTTAATTTGCATGTTACTCTTTTATTAAATAGGATTCTCCCAACAACTAGGCATTCCAACTGTCAAGGGTAATCATTATTTTGTTTACCTTGGATTGAAATAAACAATCCCTATTGGCCTGATCCTATCATTGCAATTCCCTTAAACATAACAGTGGAGTAATAACATTCTTTGTATCTACATATTACAATTGTTGAGTGAGAACATACATCAAAGCACTGTGTGCATAGTTTTGACAAATCATGAGGACTCCATCAATACTCAGTTCCTCCTTCTCTACTTAAAAATATTACAGGCCCACTATCCCAAGTCAGGAATCTCTGTTGAAAAGACAGGTTATAAAAGAGGACAAAAAAGATCATAGAGTTATTATAAAATGCTCAGATACATAGCCCCACCTTTCTGTGTGCAGGAAGATGGAACAGCATTTACCTGCCATGCTTAAGTGAAGTCAAATCTAATTACCATACACCTGTAGTTAGTGTATTCTTCACAAATTATATTGAAAAGTCTATGCTTATGAACTAAAGAACCAATTTCTAAATATAATATGATGCTTTAGAGGTTAATTTCAAAGACATTTTTCCTTGAAAAATATTTAATTCATTTGTTCCATCAACAGTCTATTTAAAAAGCTAGCAATTTAGTAATAGCTAAAACATATACACAAAAATGATCCAGGGTGATATCTTTCAAATGGTAGCCTAAAAAGATAAAATGATATATTTGTTCATCCTTATCCCATCACTTTAAAGTAGAGGATAATTTAGGGTAATATATTCTTAAAAGACATAGGTAAAGTCCAGCCAAATTAAATATCTATTATCATCACAGAGTCTTTCCTCAATTCAAAATATGTTAACTTCAAAATACAAATCCTTATAGCAAAAATGAATAAATATTTGGGGAGGGATGACAAAGCTCTAAAAGTGATTATTGGGATGATAAAATATTCTCATATCTATTGAACAGTACACTATAAATGGGTAAGTTGTATAGTGTGTGAATTAATCTTGATAAAGCTATCATTTTTTAAAATGAATGACTTTCATCTACTAATAGACTTTTCTTTTTAAATATATTTTATTGATTTTTTACAAAGAGGAAAGGAGAGAAATAAAGAATAAGAAACATCGATCAGCTGCCTCCTGCACAGCCCTCACTGGGAATGTGCCTGCAACCAAGGTACATGCCCCTAACCAGAATCGAACCCGGGACCCTTCAGTCCGCAGGCCGACACTCTATCCACTGAGCCAAACCGGTTTTGGCTACTAATAGACTTTATTTTTATTTTTTTTATTTTTTTTTTTTTAATTTTATTTTGAAGTAATATTTAATATTAACATTGTGAGTTATTATCTTTTGCATATCCTAGTTACACATTTCAAACAAATCGTCATTTATATTTACAGTATACAGATGCAAAGCATTAATTTCCCACTAAATCATCACTTTCTTAAAATGGTACATGTGATGTTATGAAATTAGCTATTAAGCATTCGAAATAGTGGAAAAGAGGTCCTTTCTTCAGTCTTTTTTTTTTTTTTAAATATATATTTTTTTGATTTTTTTTTTGCCCCACCTCCCTCCCTCCCACACATCCCCTCCCTCCCCAGAGTTTTATGTCCATTGGTTGTACTTATGTGCATGTATAAAAGTCCTTTGGTTGATCTATTATCTCCCCCAGATCTTCCTCCCCTCCCTGCTGTAATTTGACAGTCTGCTTGTTGATATACTATCTTTATATCTATCTTTTGGTTCATCAGTTTATAATGTTCTTTATTATCCACAAATGAGTGAAGTCATGTGGTGTTTTTCTTTCAATGACTGGCTTATTTCACTCAGCATGATGTTACTAATAGACTTTAAATACTCTACAATTACATTGGGCAACTCAGGCTTTACTAGATTTCAAAATAAGCATGAAAACAGAGAAAAAATATATTTTATTGGTATTTATGCCTAGCACAATTCAATTCAAATAAAATGGAACAGATTAACTTATTTAATTTAATTAAAACATATAAAGTGTCTGTCTCTTTTAACATCATATAATTGTGTTCATGCAAGCACAATCATCAAAACTGTCCTAACCATGTATCATAGCACCACCTCATTTTTGCAGTACTTGATGTAAGTTCATTGTTAAGTATATCTGGCTTTAGCAATGTAAACATTAGCTACAAGTAAACTTTAAAAAGTAAAGGTGAATGATACTAATGAATAAATCAAAATAGAACTGAGCATCACATGAGATAATTCAACAAAATATTATATAATACTGTTTCAATAAGAATTACCACTTAATAAATTTCACAAGATGGAAGGAGAAACAAAAAGTAAAGTGTAAACTTCCAAAATAGTGTTAAAGTACTGAGGGATTTCTAGTAGTGTAAAATTTACCTCAGAAAAACAAAGGGAAAAAACATAGCCATGCAGAGAAAACCAAATTTGTTTTAATAATTACAAGTTATTCTTAGTGTAAAGGCTTTCTAAAATGTACTCTCAAAAAAAGGCTTATTTTCTATCTCCCTTTTTAAAAAATCATGTTTAATCACATAAGTTGGGAATGTGTGGGAACTTCATATTTATTATTAGATTGGGGATTGTTACAAAAAAAAATTTTGTCCCTATTTTTTCAGATGACCAAAAACATTATATTTTCTTCATGAAAATTACTATATATAGTCAAATAATTTCTAAATAAATCATCATAAAAATAATTTGCCTTAACAGATTAAGAACAGAAATACTGTATACTTAAGTGATGAAAATCACAGAAAAATATTCAATGAACAAGCAAAAATGTCCACACTTATTACTATTGATGATTTTGTTTACTTTTCAGCTAAAATTAAGAAACAAGTTTTCAAAAGTCAGTATAGATATTCAGTGCCACTTGGTCTGCAATATGCAAATGAGTTGTGTCTCTTTTGTACAAAACAAACTCTATTCTTACTCTTCAACATAATTAAGTTATAAAGACCTCAGTTTTCCAAAACCAGTTATAATACTGTGGCAAGCAAAGTTTGTTCGTATTGCTCTTATATTCCAGCTTAATCTACAAACGTGAATATTTTAGCGTATGTTGCCTCAAACCATACTAAAACAAGAGTGCAGAGATATCTGTTGATTTCCACAGATTAATTGAAAAGGGGAAAAAAAGAAAACTGAAATATTATTTCATCTTCTTAAATGTCTTTAACATGTTTAGCACTTCAAGCAGCACTTGACACAGCAAGTTTCTTCAAATGATCCATGAACACTTGTAAACTAACATCATCTGTGAGAATAGGTGCTCCAGACTCCTAGGAAAAAAGATATTTGCTGTTTAAACAGTGATACCATCAAATTTATAAGCAGTGTATAAGCAAATGTTTAAAACAAACAAGTAAATAATTTTAAGCACAATAATGCCCCTTTCCTACTGTGTAATAAAGACCATGACTGGCCTTTGTCCCTAGGTTCCTGAGGGGGGATTCTGTACCTTTGGAATTTCCTAACAGCAGTGTCTTTGTTCTTCAAGAACCCCTCAGATCACACCTGAGTTTATGCTATGAGATGAGAAGACAGGATGGAGGCCAGTCATCAGAAAGACCAACCACGTGATTGGAGTGCTGGGGCTTTAAGACAGGCAGACCTCCAGGGAGGGTGAAGGAGAGGAAGGAAGGTGAAAACCATGGGTTGCAGGGAGTTGAAAATTGGGTTCAATGAGGCACCGATGATTTAATCAATCACACCTATGGAAAGGAGGCACCAAAAAAACCTCTGGATACCAAAGCTCAGTGGCGTTTCCTGTCTGACAAACACATCAATGTGCAGGGAGGATGTCGCACATTGATTCCATGGAGAAGTGACAGACCTTTGTACCTGGAACCCTTCTAGGCCTTACTTAGTCTCTTCATTTAGCTGATCCTAGTATGTAACCTTTATAATCCTATCTTAAAAAAAAAAAAAAAAGAAAGAAAGAAAGGTACTTTCCTATGTTCCATGAGTTGTTCTATCAAATTATTGAACCTAAGGGAGTCATGGGAACACCCCCTAAACATACACTTAGCTATGTATTTTAACAGAAATGCCAGCTATTAGGAAGCAAACATTTTTTTTTAATATATTTTATTGATTTTTGTACAGAGAGGAAGGGAGAGAGATAGAGAGTTAGAAACATCAATGAGAGAGAGTCATCGATCAGCTGCCTCTTGCACACCCCCTACTGGGGATATGCCTGAAACCAAGGTACATGCCCTTGACCGGAATCGAACCCGGGGCCCTTCAGTCCCCAAGCCGACGCTCTATCCATTGAGCCAAACCAGTCAGAAGCAAACATTTTTAAATAAACTATGCTTATAAGTGTCCAAGTCTTGGACTTTAAAGATTCTACTAGTAAGTTATTCACAAAAGTTAGGGAAAATTCTTAATTTCTATTTGAATGACAACAATATGAACAACCCTGGCAACCCAACACATCAATAATGAATTTTTATTACAGCAAGAAAAAGATTTCCTATATTAATTTTTAGCCAGCAGTTGGACATCCTTAGTGCTGCTGTGGAGGCGAAAGAGACTCCCGCCATGTCCACTGCACTTGCCAGCCATGAACCCAGCTTCTGGCTGAGTGGCACACCCCCTGTGGGAGCACACTGATCACCAGGGGGCAGCTCCTGCATTGAGTATCTGTCCCCAGTGGTCTGTGTGCATCATAGTGACTGGTCATTTGTCTGTCTGGTCAATTTGCATATTATCCTTTTATTATACAGGATTTTTTTATACATATTTTCCCCCATCTCAATTCACTCAAACTCTGACCTATTTTTCCTAGTCAAGACAAAATATAAGTATAGATTTCCTAAATTATATTTTAGATCCTATTTGAAATTATAAATATAAATGTTCAAACAAATCTTATCAAAAATTTGAAGCTGGTTGATCTCAATCTTTCAAATGCACCCTTTTTCTCTTTAAAATACAACCAAGATTAGGCAGGAAGGCTAAGCTTTATGTGATTTAGTATAAGAAGCACTGCAGCAAAGCTGCCGCATCTTGTCACAGAAGCAGTGCGGCAGTGGTGCCCTCTGCAGGCCACCCATAGATCCTGGGTACTTGTTTTCTGGCAGAAAGAAAACTAAGGTATTAGGATCCATATTTTTAGTAAAATGCCTGGCTACCAAGTTAATTACATACACTGCAGTCATCAATTTAGCTCAGTGATTAAAAATTCAGATTCTAGAGTCAGACTGGCCTACATTCAAATCTGGACCCTGCCACAGTTTAGCTACGTGATCTTGGAAAGCTTTAAATTCCTTTTCTAAAGTATAGGATTAATGATACTCACCTCACAGAAGTGTTTTAATAATTTAAAAGGAGCGCATAAAAAGCTCAGCATAGTAATCAAAACGTAACAGTCAGTTCCAAATCATCACTAGGAGGACACATACCTGGGTTGAGGGCTCATACCCAGTGTGGGGCATGCAGGAGGCAGCCAATCAATGATTCTCTCTCATCAATTATGTTTCTTTTCTCACTCCTTCTCCCTTCCTCTCTGAAATCAATAAAAATATTTTTTAAAATTAAAATAAATAATCATTTATATCATGTTATACACTTTTTTTCTCAAGGGTGTGGTACTAAATTTGGAATATGTTCTATTTGATATGGTCACTTCTTTACTTTTTATGGTGTCACCAAATACCAATTCTATTTTCTACTCTTATTTTTTCATTACTTTTCCAACAAAAATTGTTATCAAATATAGGGAAAATGTAATTCTCATGAAAATATCGAGAATAAACTATAAATACACAAAGAAATAACTTCCAAGATTTGTTATTTACACTTACCTGTCCCCAGGCATACATATTATTATGAGTCTGTGAAGGGTTGACTTTTGAAAGCAGAAAACGGGCCTTGAAAGCAAAGAAGACATAACATTATCCATCAAAAAAAGGTTTAGTCAATATTAAGTTGAACAAATATATCATGCCATCTAAAATCAATTTTATTAAAATATAACTTTTTAAAAAGTAAAATATATTTTGAAATATGTAGGCCACTATACATTACAAATAAATAATAAATGTACCCTCTTCTTTCCAAATCATACATTCATAATAGCAAATAATAAATTGTTGAGTCTAAAACTCAGCATATAAAACTTATGTGTGCAACAATTATGACAAGGTCAGTATGAAATTTATTAAACACTTGGTCTGAAACATCAGAGGTTTGACATTCCAAAATATGATAAAAATAAAAATTATAAAAAGAGCCGAAACCGGTTTGGCTCAGTGGATAGAGCGTCGGCCTGCGAACTGAAAGGTCCCGGGTTTGATTCCGGTCAAGGGCATGTACCTTGCTTGCGGGCACATCCCCAGTAGGGGGTGTGCAAGAGGCAGCTGGTCGATGTTTCTCACTCATCAACATTTCTAGCTCTCTATCTCTCTCTCTTTCTCTCTGTTAAAAAAAATCAATAAAATATATATATTTTTTAAAAATGAGAGAACCAGTCATAAATGATTATTTTATATTGGAAAATCACAGTCTGTCACATTTTTTTGAAACTTAGTACGATACAAAATCTTTTTTTTCTAATCTATAAGTAAACAGTTTAACACAAGCTAACTGGCTCTACAGTCAGAACATCTAAATTCAAATCCCAACTCCTACATTTACTATGTTATCTAGGCCACAAGTAACCGAAGTCCCAATTTTATTATCTGTATAACAGAGATAACAAAAGGACTATTAGAAGGGTCAAATGAGAGATGGTGTGTAAAGTTCTAACTATTAACTTTGCAAATTCTCAATACACAGTAGCTATTATATAAAATGCTAATAATAATTGCTATTATTTCTGAATATAGTAAAATACTAATAATTGCTATTATTTCTGAAGAACAGTTATTGGTATTTACTACCTAGTTTGTAATATACTAGGCATTGGAATGCAGAAAAAAAAAAGTATGATCACTGCCTTTAACAAGCAAATGAAACAGACTTTAATTAAACAATTTATAAGTAATTTATTATAATTGAAATAAGTACAGTAAAATGTATTTTAATAATGGAAGTTAAGGAGTCCTAGCCTAGACTTCTGAAAGGATCAAAAGGGCCATGTGTATATGTACATGTTATCTTATTTAATCCTCATTTAACTGTAAAAACCACAAAACCTTTTTTAATACCGTAATTCTTCCCTTTACATGACATTTTCTAGAAAACTAGAATGATAGAATGAGGAAAACAGAAAAACTATGTGACCACAAACTTCATATTCATAGACTGAATCAGTAAATAACAGCTCTAAGAAAAGTACACTAAGTTATTTCCCACTCTCTCCATGTCTTCTTGCTCAATTGGAGCTGGCATACTATCATAACACTATCCTGGCTCTGTTATTGGAGCTGGGCTGGAGGCAGAAATGGGAGAAACTGCCAGCATTAGTCCACTAGGCAATGATCATATAACTCTGCTCTCAACACTACGGCAAAAAGTAAGTATACATACTTCTAGATACTTTCCTATGTGCCTGGTAGACCAGTCTACTCAAATTAAAGTCAGAAGGCAAATAGGAACAATTCACTGCAAAAGCAGCAACAAACACACACACAGATTAACTGTGCTTACCTGGCTGCCGCCATGTTCAGTATCGATGTATCTCGGCATTGGAAACCTGGAGTGAAGAATCTCCTGGGCGTCATCCACTGGGGCTTGCAGAAGGTGGCGGAAATTTTCATATTCTGGCATGTCCTGGTATCCTGACTTGCGCCACTGGGCTATGGTCTTATTTTAAAACAATTAATAGAATTATTATTTTTATTATTTTTTATTTTTTTAATATATTTTTATTGATTTTTACACTTGATCTTAGCCAAAAGGCCGAGAAGCGATTATTATTGATTTTTTTTTACAGAGAGGAAGGGAGAGAGATAGTTAGAAACATCAATCAGCCACCTCCTGCACACCCCCTATTGGTGTGCCTGCAACCAGGGTACATGCCCTTGACCAGAATCAAACCTGGGACCTTTCAGTCCGCAGGCTGATGCTCTATCCACTGAGCCAAACCAGTTTCGGCAGAATTTTTATTTTTAATTTCTTGTGCATCTAAAAAAATTTAAAGACATTTTTTTCAACAGAAATAATCTTCAGATAATAAGAAAATTATAGATTACTCCATTTATCTCTATTTTTAAAGCTAAGAATATGAATTTCAGTGTTCTTGAATAAATAGATACACAATCAGGAGTGTTCTTGAATAGATAGATACACAATCAGGATATTTCTTCTCCTTTAAAACAATACACTTATCAAATTAATTTACTAAAAGCTATCTATCTAAGCTTATGATAAATGAGGGAAGTTTTTATTACAGAAGATTTCCCAGTCTTCTAAATGACCTTTTATTATGAAGTCTTTACCAACAGAGTTACATTCTGGCAAGATAAGTAAACAATAAAACTTTAATAATAATAGCAATACTATTATCAAGATAATATACCTGTAAAAGAGCATTCAATCAATTCTTTCATTAAAATAAATGGTTCCAAATTAAATCATCCAAAAATTTAAACCTGGCTTGGTTTCTAAGTTAACTGAATCAGTCAACATACTCTATAGTTTTATATCATCTACATTTATGATTTTTTCCTTAAGCACATTAACAAATGACTTGAAGATGTGAACATTATTTAAAAAAAAAAAAAAAGATATATGCAAAAATCTAGCTCTATCATGTAACAGGAATTATTCTTAAAAAGTAAAGAAAATTAATAAGTAATAATGTTGCTCAGTGAATTGACCAACCAGTGACAAGAGGCAGGCACTAAGAACTGTTTGTGCCCTTGCCAGTTTGGCTCAGTGGATAGAGCATCGGCCTGCAGACTGAAGGGTTCAATTCCAGTCAAGGGCACATGGTTGAGTTGCAGACTCGATCCCCAGTAACAGGCTTGCAGGAGGCAGCCAATCAAGATTCTCTTCATCATTGATGTTTTTCTCTCTCTCCCTTCTTTGAAATCAATAAAAGTGTGTGTGTGTGTGTGTGTGTGTGTGTGTGTGTGTGTGTATATATATATATATATATATATATTTTTTTTAAACCTATGAGGTTATTAAAAACATGGAAAAGGGGGACCGGTTTGGCTCAATGGATAGAGAGTCTACTTGGGGACTGAAGGGCCCCGGGTTCGATTCCGGTCAAGGGCATGTACCTTGGTTGCGGGCATATCCCCAGGGGGGGGGTGCAAGAGGCAACTGACCAATGACTCTCTCTCATTGATGTTTCGAACTCTCTATCTCTCTCCCTTCCACTCTGTACAAAAATCAATAAAATAAATTTTTAAAAAAATAAAATAAAATAAAAACATGGAAAAGGGATTGTTAACAGAACTCACTAAAACATCCACAGGTAGAAAAGGTGAATAAACTATTTATTTGTTAACTCATAAAAATAATATAATAAAGGGCGTTAATAACTGGTATCAATTAAAAATAATCCTAAATCTTTTAAAAGTCCCAAATAATATCACTTAAAAAGATATTTTAAGCAATGCCTTTGCTATTATAGTGCAAATAAAAAATCATTTACAATTTTTAAAAAATTCTGACTGATAATGCGCACATTATTAGAATCTTATACTATAAGCTTAGGTGTGGGTCTGTGACTAAAGAATGTCTATTTTCTTTTCTTTTTCTTTTTTTTAATATATTTTATTAATTTTTCACAGAGAGGAAGAGAGAGGGATAGAGAGTAGAAACATCGATGAGAGAGAGTCATTGATCAGCTGCCTCTTGCACACCCCCTACTGGGGATGTGCCTGAAACCAAGGTACATGCCCTTGCCCGGAATCGAACCCAGGACCTTTCAGTCCGCAGGCCGACGCTCTATCCACTGAGCCAAACTGGTCCTGGCAAGAATGTCTATTTTCAAAGCACCCAGGTACAGTGCTTTTTTATACAGAGGAGGCACTTAAATATTGGCTGGATTAATAAATGCAGGAATGAATTAAGAGTTCTGCTCAATACGTTAATGGCTACTCAAATATTCTCTTTTCAATCATTTACCATTGCAATTAAGTGAAGTTATAAATTTTAATTCACTTAGGCTTTCAATGAGTTTTCAAGATCATGTGGATTATTGTTTAAACTCAGGTTAAAAGGGTGCTGCTTCATCTATGGAGTTGTCTGTCTCACTGTTTCACTAATAAACTTACTTTCACTTTAAACAAAAACAAATAAACACAAAAACCTTTACTAATAACTACTTCATCTGGAATATATTTTAAATGATTATACCTAGCCAGAGTGGCTTAGTTAGTTGAAGGTTGCTGGTTCAATTTCCACTCAGGATACATACCTGGGTTTTGGATTTGATACCTAATCAGAACACATACAGAAGGCAATCAATCAATGCTTTTCTTTACCTCTCTCTCTCTTTCTCTTCCCTTTCTATTTTTTTTTTTCTCTCTCTCCCCCTTCCTCTCTCTAAGCATGTTCTTGGGTGAAGATTTAAATAAATAAATAAATAAATAAATACGAAAATTTTATGCCCTACTTGGTTTGGCTCAATGGATAGAGCATCAGCCTACACACTGAAAAGTCTTGGGTTCGATTCCAATCAAGGGCTAATCAATGATTCTCTCTCATTATTGATATTTCTATCTCTCTCCCTCTCTCTTCTTCTCCAAAATCAATAAAAATATTTTTTAAATAAAAATTTAAACTATGTTAAAAAAAAGAAGAATATTTTAAATGATTACATGAAATAATGAAAAGGAAAGTCTGCCCACTGACAAAGGCTGATTCTTCCTTCCCCTCTTAATGTCTTTTGGTAAAACCGAAAGTATGATCTGCCTATGTATATATCAATGCTTTTACTTTCACAACACCATGCTTCTTATAAATCTACTAGAGACCCGTTGTACGAAATTCGTGCATGAAGGGGGGAGAAGGGGTTGTCCCTCAGCCCGGCCTGCAACCTCTCCAATCTGGGATACTTTAGGGGGTGTCATCCTAAACTGGCAGTCGGACATTCCTCTCACACTCCAGAACCATTGACTCCTAACCACTTGCCTGCCTAATTGCCCACTAACTGCTCCCCAACCAGCCTGATTGCCCCCAACTGCCCTCTCCTGCTAACCTGATTGTCCCCAACTGCCCTCTCCTACCAGCCTTGTCACCCCTAATTGCCCTCTCCTGCTAGCCTTATCTCCCCCAACTGCCCTCCCCTGCCAGCTAGATCGCCCACAACTGCCCTCCCTTGCTGGCCATATCATCTACAACTGCCCTCCCCTGCTGGCCTGATTGCTCACAACTGCCCTCACCTGCAGGCCTGATCGTCCCATTTACCCTCCCCTGCTGGCCTGATTGCCCCCAACTGCCCTCCCCTGCCAGCCTGATTGCTCCCAACTGCCCTCTCCTGCCACAACCCACCTCCTCTGTCAGGCCCCGTCTTCCCTGTGCATGCGGCCAACTTGTGATGGCCATCTTGTGACGACTTTATGGCATGATGTGTGAGGGCATGACGACCACTTAAGCTATTATTAGTATAGATGTGTCTAATCATATGTGGACAAAAAGATAAAATTGTCATAGGTGAGTCAACTGCAAATGAAGTAGGAAGAGCCGCATTTTATAGAAATGGAAATAAAAGTTTATCATAGTGGAAAACACTAGGTATATAGTGAAAGGAAGACTACTGCACCTATGTACACAGCTTTAAATGTCATGGAATCTTACCTCACCATGATAAATCAAAATCTGGAAGAATGTGTCCATCAGAAGAATACGATCTGCAAGAATGCTGCTGCTATCAAGAAGAACCGGCTAAGGTGAACAAAATGAGAAAGGAGGAAGAAGGAAAAATAAATTAAAGACACACAAGATCTTTCCAGGATCAATTTAAATTTTTTAAGTTTTAGATTTGTATCATTTTACTTAAAACCTTTTGCTATTATGAATTCTTATGGTATATTTTAACTTTATTTTCTCAGAAATCTCTAAGTTGAGGTTAACAATTGAAATATGAGTAAAGAAGAAATCAAGGATGACTCAAGTTTGATGATGGCACCACTGAGTAAGAGGGGAAAAGCTTGGAATAGAGCAAATTTGGAGCAGACTGGAAGAAGGGGTTATGAAATAAAAGGGAGTGGCCTGTAATAATAACATAAATTTAGATATCACATGCATGACGATGGTAATTAAACCTATGAGGTTAGACTGCATCACATAGAGAGAGGGAAGACAGAGAAGAAGTCAGAGTCCTGGAGCAGAACTTGGAGGTCTGAAAGGGAGAAGCCAATAACTAAAGGAACCTGAGAAGAAACAGACAAAAGTAGGAGGAAACCTGGCAGGTAACTATAGGTGTCAGAGAAGCCTAGAGCAGAAGGTTTGCAAGGAGTTCTCACTAGGAGAGTCCTGGCAAGATGTACGATAATGTTATGCATTGTTTCAGTATGATGTTAGGGATGAGAGTCTGACTAATACAGGTAGAGAAGAGAATATGAGGTGAGAAAGTATAGACAACAAGTAAATTGTGAATTTGGCTGTGACCAGAACCAAGGAGATGGGGTGTCAATTAAAAAAATATATATATATCGCCGAGACCGGTTTGGCTCAATGGATAGAGCGTCGGCTTGAGGACTGAAAGGTCCCGGGTTCGATTCCAGTCAAGGGCATGTACCTTGGTTGCGGGCACATCCCCAGTAGGGGGTGTGCAAGAGGCAGCTGATCGATGACTCTCATCAATGTTTCTAACTCTCTCTCTCTCTCCCTTCCTCTCTGTACAAAATCAATAAAAAATATATTTAAAAATATCTATATCAAGTCAGGGCTTTTTGTTTGTTTTAACATGAATACCTTTTAAAAAAAAATTAAAGTTATGCCTGGCCGGCATGGGCCAATGGTTGAGCCTCTAGGAGATCATATTCCATTCCCATCTGATTGCTGGCTTGATCCTCAAGCGGGGAGAGGGGTAAAGGGCGTGTAGGAGGCAGCTAATCAATGATTCTCATCATTGATGATTCCATCTCTCTCCCTCTCCCTTCCTCTCTGAAATCAATAAAAACATATTTTTAAATTAAATTTATTGGAGTGACATTGGTCAACAACTATGAGTGCTTTTAAGGTTTATGTTAATAAGAATAATCCAGATGGAGAAAAAAACATGATAATATAGGATAGAAAAGAGGAAAACTCAAAAGCAAAGCCTAAGAAAATGAAGCTAATAGGACTCATGGACTATATGGAAAGGCTGGAACTTGACAGAAGCAGGTACTAGAGATGATAGAGTTCCAATCTTCTTCTAAACACTATTCTACTTTTTCCAATGTCTACAATTTACATATATTACTCTGAAATTTTTAAGTTATTTCTAAACTTTCTCTCTTGATTCAAAGAACTACAAGAGCAAATACATAGGTAAACATTAAAAACATATTTTCATAAAAAAGTAGAAACTATGAAGTAAATACCAAAATAATTATAGTAAAAAATTATAGTAAAAAACAGTTTATCCACATTTTTTTTACAAAATATTAAATAAACGCCTCATGAGGGATCATTAATCAATCAGTATTGTAAGTATCCTCTTTATACTGACCTTTCCTAAAGTATTATTTTCAAATATGGTCATAACATACATTTACGTAATAAAACAGACAATTTTAACTACAAGATGAAAAAACTGTTTACTTGATAAGTTAAAATAAGTGGGACAGTTTGGAAACTAAATAAATGGCTTTATCCCTTTTCTAAGTACATGTCTATATAACAACTGTAGCTTATATTAAAAACAAAAAAATAACAAAAAACCTAGAGGAAAATGAGATATTAAAGCAAGAGGTTTTGATAAAACACTACACTCTGGAATAAACTACAGATTCTAGAATCATTATCACCACTAGACATTGTTAAAAAATATAAGAATCATAAGCTTCCTTGACCGGTTTGGCTCAGTGGATAGAGCGTCAGCCTGCAGACTGAAAGGTCCCAGATTCGATTCCGGTCAAGGGCATGTACCTTGCTTGCGGGTACATCCCCATTAGGGGGTGTGCAGAAGGCAGCTGAGCGATGTTTCTCTCTCATGGATATTTCTAACTCTATCCCTCTCCCTTCCTCTCTGTAAAAACATCAATAAAAATAAAAAATAAAATAAAATAAATCATAAGCAGTAGAGAATTTGATCAACCAAATGACTGAACAAAATGATCTTAAAAGTCTCTTCTATCTCACTGTCTCATTATTTGTTTAATGATTTCCTAATATTTCCTAATATGACCTAGCATGAACTCTAGCACATGGTAAGCACTCATAAATATTTAAAATAAATAACTTGACAATTATTTTTGAATTAAATTCTTATATTTAGTACTGTGTTTCAAGAAAACGTTTGTTGTTTTCACTTTCTAGTGGCACACATCATCGAAACAAAACCAATTTTTTATGCTCCTCTTACCTCTGGTGGTCCACTAAAAGAATATGCGTAGAGAATAGGTTGAATCATGATTAGAGATTGGGTCAGGTCTTGACGCATAAAATGATGACGATAGTATGAACTCTCATCAGGGCTATTGTTAAAAACTTGCAAGAAAGGAGACCTTCTTAAGTGAAACATAAACTACAAGATAAAACATGTGAGAGAGTTTTTTAATGATTTTAATATTGCAATCGGAGTTTACTGTTAAAAAAAGCATTTGAACACAACTATTAAAACCACAATAAAACAAATTATAACAGCATTGAGAATTATATTCCTAAGAATCTTATTCATATTTATCAGTTACTTGAAAATGTAATTCAACAATTAAAATATTAAAGTAAAAGAGGTGACTCAAAAGAAAACAAAATTAGAGACAAAAACCTCTAGCTCAGATTTAATATTTCAGAGGCTGATGCCAGGTGATGTACATCAGCATTATTTGTTTTTATCCCTCATTTCTCTGACCACATCTCTGGGCTTTTTATTATTATTATTATTATTATTATTGTTATTCATTAATACAATCACAATACTCTAAGAGAACATAAAATAGATTAAAAATTTTTCTGCTTTTTGTGAAACTCCCACAAATTGCACTGGAAGAGTCTTTAAAAAGACTTTAAAAGTCTTTAAAACGGGTTTTTTAAAAGACTTACTTATACCCACTTGTTTCTTAATATTGAAGGTCTTCCTTATCTCCAGGTAACATTCCCTACAGCATCTCATTTATTCTTTCCCCTTCCACTCCCTCTTCATAGAAAGATATCAGAGAGGGGGAGAGTTAAACCTGAATGAAGGGCAGCTCCACTGTCCTCTGACACAATCAAAGGGTCTTTGATACAATCAATAGGATTGGTTCCAAAGTACTCCCACCCATTTATCTTTCAGTTACTTCTCTCACGTTCCTTCGGCCCTCAGGTCTCCTAAAAAAACCTCACTCCACATTTCTTTCTCCCTACACAGGCCACTCACTGAATGAAATTCTCATTCCTTTTTCTAATGTACTGAGCCGTTCTCTCATCCCTTACCATTTCACCCAATCCTGTTTATTCATAGGAATGAGTAAATGATAAAAAGACCTCCATTAAATTTAGTCTATGTCACCTTTTAGATCATCAGCTTTGAAAACCCAAAGTAGAAAAGTCTTTCTGGGTCTTCTGGTCTATATTTCCCACAAGAGAGGAAAAGATGGGATGCCCAGATTTCTCAGAATCTAAAAGCCTAACGAGAAGGTATCAAGTAGGGAGAGAAAAGAAAGTGTGAATTTAGTCAAATGCTTAAGCTAATACTCTCATTTCCTTTTCCATTACTTTCTCCTATAGAGATGAGGCCTGAGAATTCCCAACACAGCAAGGGTTTTTGCCTGCCTTAAGATAAGAGGACTCTGCCTTTTCCCAGTTCTTTAAAACTTCACCAGAAATTTAGGAAAGTCTCTCTCTGTAAACATGGAGATTCTATGTTAAAGATCAATAAAACATTTTTCAAAAAATGTAAGAGGAGCTCTGAAAAGTTGAGGCTTTAAACAAAGTTTTCATGGGTATTCGAAAGAAGGATCCAAGATGGCTGCTCGGGTAGACATCTAGCCGCGGCACCACACAACAATTTCAATGGAATACAACTAAAATGTAGAGTGGACATTGCCCAGAGCTACAGGTAGTCGACTGACTGAAATTTCTACAACAAGAAGGAAAGAGAAAACCAGAAAGAAAATCAGAGGAGCTGAAAAAAAGCCTAAGGTACGGAGACATGCTGCGCGCGTGCCCGCCCGCACGCGCGCACGGAGAGGTCGCAGCCGGAGAGGAGGAGAGGGCGGGGAGCCGCCTTTCCTTCCCTAGCAGGAAGGAAATAAAACCCCCAGCCTGGGCTGAACCCCCGAACCGGCAGCGCTGAGCCCCAGTTATGGGCCAGACCCTGGGGACCCAGGCTCCGGTGGGAGGAGACAGGGCCGTGAGGCGGAAAAACGGCGAAAAGCAGGGCCCCGGGAGTCGCGTGCAATGCACGCAGAGGACTGAATGTTGACTCTGATGCTGGGTTGCCCTAGCCGGAAGAAACAAGGCCTCCGGCGGCGGTGAGCCTCAGTCCAGACTGCTCCGAACCCAAGTTCTGGGCTAATCTCTGGGGACCCAGGCTCAGGCAGAGGGAAACGGGGCTGTGAGGTGGAGTCTGGGGAGAGCGGCGAAAGGCCAGGCCCCCGGGACTCGCGCAAACTGCGCGCAGAGGACAGTCTGTTGACTCTGATGCTGGACTTCTCTAGCGGGAAGGAGAAAAAAAAAAGCTCTAGGCTGGGGGAACGCGGAGGGGAGCGGAAGCCCCTGCCAGACGCCAGCCAACCGGGCACCAGCAAGGAGGCGGGCCACGGGGCCCCTGGGGGCGTGGGTGCCCCTGAGCCTTTGACCACTGAGCTCCGGCAATGGAGCCAAGGCCGGGGGCTGCTTCCTGGGCTGCGCCATCCCGGCAACAGGCTGAAGCAGCACAGGAGCCCGTGCAGAACAAAGGGGTGCCACAGGCCAACCTGCTGAGCTCCCAGGACAAGGAGGAAGAAACCAAAGAAGTTCTCAATGTGAAGAAATCAAGTGAGAACAAAAAATAGTAAAATTACTTAAGAAAGAATACAAAGAAGATCTTGAAAAATCAAAGACTAAGTCAGAACTCAACTCACCAGCCAACATTGCAACATAAATGCGTTTTAAAAAGAAAAAAGAAAAAAAAAAGAACAGAATGTTGGAACAGCGACGGCCAGGCCTAGAGTGGCCAGGCACAAGGCAGTGGCAGCCAGACCCGGAGCAGCAACGGCCAGGCCCCAGAACAACAGCAGCCAGAACCAGAGCATCAACAGCCAGCACTGGAGTAGCTAGACCTGGGGCAGTGGCAGCCAGGCATGAGGCGGAGGCGGCCAAGCCCAGGGTGGCCAGTCCAGAAACACCCAGACCCGGAGTGGCCAGGCCCGGAGAAGCCGGGCCCAGAGCAGCCGGGGTGGGAGCAGCCAGACCCAGAACAGCAGTAGCCAAGCCCAGAGCATCCAGGTCGGGAGTGGCCAGGCTCGGAGCGGCCGGGCCCAGAGCAGCCGGGTCGGGTGCGGCCAGGCCCGGAGCAGCGGCTGCCAGGCTGGGAGCGGCCAGGCCCGGGGGAGCAGGCGGGGCTGGTGCGGCCAGGCCCGGAGCAGCGGCTGCCAGGCTGGGAGCGGCCAGGCCCGGGGGAGCAGGCGGGTCGGGTGCGGCCAGGCCCGGAGCAGCGGCTGCCAGGCTGGGAGCGGCCAGGCCCGGGGGAGCAGGCGGGTCGGGTGCGGCCAGGCCCGGAACAGCGGCTGCCAGGCTGGGAGCGGCCAGGCCCGGGGGAGCAGGCGGGGCTGGTGCGGCCAGGCCCGGAGCAGCGGCTGCCAGGCTGGGAGCGGCCAGGCCCAGGGGAGCAGCCGGGTCGGGTGCGGCCAGGCCCGGAGCAGCGGCTGCCAGGCTGGGAGCGGCCATGCCCGGGGGAGCAGGCGGGGCTGGTGCGGCCAGGCCCGGAGCAGCGGCTGCCAGGCTGGGAGCGGCCAGGCCCGGGGGAGCAGGCGGGGCTGGTGCGGCCAGGCCCGGAGCAGCGGCTGCCAGGCTGGGAGCGGCCAGGCCCGGGGGAGCAGCCGGGTCGGGTGCGGCCAGGCCCGGAGCAGCGGCTGCCAGGCTGGGAGCGGCCATGCCCGGGGGAGCAGGCGGGGCTGGTGCGGCCAGGCCCGGAGCAGCGGCTGCCAGGCTGGGAGCGGCCAGGCCCGGGGGAGCAGCCGGGGCTGGTGCGGCCAGGCCCGGAGCAGCGGCTGCCAGGCTGGGAGCGGCCAGGCCCGGGGGAGCAGGCGGGGCTGGTGCGGCCAGGCCCGGAGCAGCGGCTGCCAGGCTGGGAGCGGCCAGGCTCGGGGGAGCAGGTGGGGCTGGTGCGGCCAGGCCCGGAGCAGTGGCTGCCAGGCTGGGAGCGGACAGGCCCGGGGGAGCAGGCGGGTCGGGTGCGGCCAGGCCCGGAGCAGCGGCTGCCAGGCTGGGAGCGGCCAGGCCCGGGGGAGCAGCTGGATCGGGTGCGGCCAGGCCCGGAGCAGCGGCTGCCAGGCTGGGAGCGGCCAGGCCCGGAGCAGCAGCAGCCAAGTCCAGAGCAACTAGGTCGGGAGCGGCAGTGACCAGACCCGGAGCAGCTGGTTGTGGAATGAACCAGAGCAACAGAGGCCAGGCCCTGAGCAGCCAGGCCCAGAACAGCTCGCTCCTTGCCTGCCCCTGCCCCACGGCTGCTTCTCAGACATGGCTGGAAACTTTCGTGGAAACTTGAGGGTCTGCTGAATCAAGTGATGAAGGCTTAGATCTGGATGTGTTGAGTTAGTTTAGGACTGGGGTGTTGATCTGTGAGTGCCTTGGGTGGGGCCTGGATGAGGCTGGTGGACCTATTGGGAAATGTCTTTTGTGTGAAGTGTATCATTGGGCATGTGGAGGTATTATTGATATGAGAAAATGCTAAGTAACTGATTTACTATCTGAAAAGGGATTTACTATTGGGGAAATTGAGGGAAGAAGAGACTGATCATAAACTGCACCTATGGATGAGGACAATGGGGGATGGGGAGGGGGCAGAGGGTGGGGTGGGAACCTGGTGGAGGGGGGAAGAAATGGGGAACCTTTGTAATAATATGAACAATAAAGATTGATTAAAAAATAAATAAATAAATAAATAAATAAAATAAATAAAATAAAATAAAATAAAATAAAAAAATAAATAAATAAATAAACAAAGTTTTCATAAGCAAAAATTTGAATTTCTACTTATTACTATTAATCATCATTCCAGGCTGAGGAAAAAAGCCACCTCTTCTATAAATATATAACTAACTGCCCTAGCCGGTTTGGCTCAGTGAATAGAGCATCAGCCCGCACACCAAAGAATCCTGGATACCATTCCAATCAGGGACACATAACTCAGTTGCAGGTTCCTCCCCAACCTAAACTCTGGTCAGGGCACCTACAGGAGGCAACCGATCCATATGTTTCACATCTTTATTTCTCTCTGTCTTTCCTTCTCTCTTCCACTCTCTCTGAAAATCAATGGAAAAATATACTCGGGTGAAGATTTAAAAAAAAAAAAAAAAAAAAGCAAAAACATAAATATGTAACTAACCGCTCATTTGGAAG